AACGCGTCCGAGATGCGACCAGCGAGCTCGCAAAGCGACCTCTGCCTCTACTGCCGCGCGGCATGGCGGCATGACTGAGGACCAGCGACCGCGTGCGCGACATTATCGAGCGCCTGGCTGTCATGGTCAGCAACGACCCAGGCGAGCGCGAGCGCGCGATGTCCAATACGCGCACCCACGACGCGATCTTCTACCACTGCGACGAGATGCTTGACTTGGCCGACACAGCAGAGGCCGACAGGGGCGCAACAGCCGCTGATTTAAGCATCGAGTGCGACCACGTCTTGGCGTACGTGGAAGGGGCTCACAAGAGCTACTGCATGTCTTGCGAGCTGCGGGGCGCGCGCCCTATTCTACGCGAATCACCGACAAAAGGGGCTTGGGAAGCTACGCCAACCACTGCCTGACTAACGTGATGACCTACCCGAAGCGGCGCTGCCACAACGACATGCCTGAGTAAGCAGTGGTGATGCGACATGACAGACATTTTCGCGGACAGCAAGATATCTATACGGCGCAACCTCACATGTGTGCCGACGCCGTTCCTCGTCGCCGACCTACAGAAGGAAATCGCAATCGAAGCAGTGGTAACTACGGTCGTGCTTATCGACAACTAGACCCCCTCGCCCAAATGCGGCCCGCATAGCCAGCAGAATCTACAGCCGACGCCGGACCTCCCAACCTGCATGCGACCTGCTGCCACCCACCGAGCCGCGCATCGGGACTGCGCCACCAACTTGGGGGCACTTGGACCAAAGTTCGTCGACTTCAGGGCCATGCGCAGTTGAGCAATGCATTGGCGCCACCTTGCGCAGCCCAAGTGGGCCGCGACCTCCACGGGCAGAACCGCGGGGAGCAGCGCCGCCGGCCGGCGAGCACCGCGCCAGATGCAGCAGCGCGCTACAGGCGACATCGGCAAGGCTGCAACGATCCGCAACGTGATCGCGGACCACAACGCCGAGGGGGGGGCGTCTCACACACCGGCGAACGCAAATCGGCAACGACGGCGCCCTCAGGCGGGCAGTTCAGCGTCATCCACCGCGGCGACCAGCAGGAGACGGATATGGAGGCTTGTCCACATTACGGCCCCGACCCGTGGATGCCATGGCCGAACTCTGCAGGCGCCGTCAAAGCTGGCCGGCTGGACCTGCGCGACCTACTCACGGCGAGTCAGGGGGTTCTCCTCTGACCGCCCACAGCGCGAGGCAATCCTCGCGATCGGACCAGTAATACAATATTTGCCTTCGTGCAGACAGGGCCATGTAAAACAATATTTGCCATGTAATACAATATTTGCAATGGCGGCCGATCCGCGCGTTACTTCCCCATGTAATACAATATTTGCCTTCGTGCAGACAGGGCCGCCAACTCCCATCTCTAGGCTACCCTTCTATCCGATGCGCGCACAAACACCGCGAAGACGGAAGCAGCGCAGCTGGTGGCACGGGAGCCGATTTTCTTTCTGGCGCATCGACAGCGTGAACGTCGGTGGCAACTGCGATCAGCGCGGGCCCCCACGGGGATTTTTTCCAGTCGAGCTCAGATCCTTGCCGCGAGAATCGCGTGGGCCTCCAAAGGGCATTCTCACCCGCCGCGCGTGGGGGCTCCACCAACCTCTACTCTCTACTGGTTCACCTTCCTGTAGCCCTGGCCCCCCCCCCACCTCCACACCGCACCCATCTAACCTCCGCCTTCGGACTAACCGCGGGCCGTCCTGGCAAGGGCCAGTGCGGCCGCTGCCGCCACTAGGGCAGCTGCCAACAGGGCGCCGACCCAAATCTTTGTGAACCTCTGCCGCCATGACTGCGCCTCCTCCTGCCGCAACGACGGCTCACGCCGCGACGCTGGCGCGTTCTCTCGCCACAACCGCATGCCAACCGTCCAGGAGATGGGCTTTAGATGTCATCGCCAGGGGGGGGGGCCAGGGTGCAGTGCGCACGCGGCGCGCCGCCGCCACGGTGGCAGAAACCACGCCCAGGCACGGTGGACCCCCCCCCAAGCGGCCACTTTTCCCGTGGTCTGGGTGGCTTGCCCCTGCTTCGGCAGAGGGGGGGCCGGCCATGGGGATGGTGAACTTTTCGGGGGGGGTCCCATGTGCGTGTCGTTTGCCGTTCGCCCTGGCGAGCGCAGCCTCCGCCCGTCTCTGCGAGAGTCGGGGGCCCCGCCGCCGCCTGGAGGGCGCAAGCCTGCCTCCCGCTCGGCGTAACACCCCCCGGGCGGCCCCAAGCTCAGTGCGCTGGGAGCCCTGCGCCTGTTGTTCAGGCGCGAGGGGTCCCGCCTTTGACCCTGGGGGCGTCTGTGGGGGGCCTCGATGAGCTGAGGGCGAGGCCCCTGCGCCCTCCGCGCCGGCGAGGGCGGAGAGGCTCCGCCGCCGTCGGGGCGCCGCCACCTCCACTGCCGGCAGCCTCTTCACTACCGCCATTCCAAGTCGTGGCTTGTCAGTCTGTGCTCCTCCTCCTCCTCCTCCTCCTCCTCCTCCTCCTCCTCCTCCTCCTGCCTCAGAGCGTGAATTACCTACCCCGCTTGGTATCTCTTGGAAGCGAGGGTGGTCAAAAGCGAGGTAGGTTTGTTTTCCCCTCGTTACCATCGCGCCTGCCAGCCTCCGCGGCGCCCAGCTGCGGCTAGCTATAGCTGCCCCCGCAACTGGCGCGTCTGCCAACTCCCAGCCACTCCCTGCCTTCCACACTTGAAGAGGAGGCAGGAGGAGGAGGAGGAGGAGGAGGAGGAGGAGGAGGAGGAGGAGGAGGAGGAGGAGGAGGAGGAGGAGGAGGAGGAGGAGGAGGAGGAGGGGGAGGAGCAGGGTGTTTGCGGGGGGGGCCCCACGGCGCCCCCGGGGCACTGGCCCCGGGTGGCCAGGGGACGCGAAGGGAGGAGGAACGACGACGGACCCTGCGGGCCCCCCACGGGCCACGTTTCAGAGCCCCGAATTATCAGGGGCAACTCGGGTCAGGGCTAACTCGGGTTCGTTTTTCGGGAGTCCGAACCCGAGTTATCCCGGACCCGAGTTACCCCGGATAATTCGGGCGTCCAGAGCCCCAAAATCATCAGGGGTAATTCGGGTCAGGGCTAACTCGGGTTCCTTTTTCGGGAACCCAAACCCGAGTTACCCCGGACCCGAGTTACCCCGGATAACTCGGGCGTCCAAACGTTGCCACACTCTGCCACGCCGCCTGCCACATCGTCCCCCTTTGTTTCCTCCTCCTTCTCTGGGGGCTCTCCTTCGCCTCTCCCCTCTCTTCCAGGGGGACGAAACGTGGCCTAAACGTACAAACTCGGAGGTCCGCGCGGATTTCTCGGATCGGCGCTGGACCCCCCTCCCTGGCGCGCGGAGCGTGCCAGGGGCGGCGCCGGAGGCTCCGCGGGGCGGCCCCAGCGCCGATCCGAGAAATCCGCGCGGACCTCCGAGTTTGTATGTTTATGTCACCTTCCGTTCCCCTATTTTCCTCCGTGAGTTGTTGGACGGCGGTCTCTAATTTTGTCGTTCTTGTTGTGCTCCCTTCAGGGGAGGGCCCGACTGGGCCCCCCTGGGGGAACTGGCAGCGTTCGACCAACCCCGTTGCCATCAGGGACACAATGACACAGGAGGAGGAGGAGGAGGAGGAGGAGGAGGAGGAGGAGGAGGAGGAGGAAGACGAGCGCTTTCGGGGGCCTCTTGGGGGTAGTTTGAGGGCATCTTGAAAGGGACTTTGGGGGCCGCTTGGGAGCCTCGTGGGGGCCTATTGGGGCTTTCTGGGGGTCTCTTGGGGGCCTCTTGGGGGTCTCTTGGGGCCTCTTGGGGGGCTTCTTAGGGGCCTCAGGGGGCCTCCTGGGAGCTTCTCAGGCCGAGGGCTCGAAATGACCGTTCGGGGCCCCCGTCTGGGCTGCCTCTTGGAGCCGTCTTGGGGGCCTCTTCGGCTGTCTTGGAGGCCTCTTGGGCGGTCTTGGGGCCCTCTTGGCGCGTTTTGGTGTCTTCTTGGAGGCCTCTTGGGCCATCTTGGAGCGGTCTTGGGGGCCTCTTGGCCTGTCTCGGAGCGTCGGGAAGCTGACGCGGCGAGAATGCCGACATCTGTCAAACACCTACGGAAAATCTATGATTTTTGCCTCTTGGGGCCCTCTCGGAAGTCCTCTTGGAGGCCTCTTGGGGCGTTCTGGAACTTGATTGTAAGCCTTCTGAAGGCTACTTTGGCGACTTGGACCGACACTTCGGCGATTTTCGGGCCTCGAGGACCGTCTCGGGGGCATCTTGGGGCACTTTTGCCGCGTCTTGGAGCTTTTCTGGGCCCCCCAACCGCCCAGGGGGAGTCGTATTTGGGTGGCGACCTCCCTGGGACCGCCCCCCCAAGGGATCGAAGGGAAGGGGCTTCCCTTCGACTCAACTACAACGTTGCTCAATTTCGCTGTGGCTGGCGCGCTCGAGGAGGAGGGCCTGGTGAAAGTGGGGGGAGCGGCGACGGTCCTAGGGAAATGGGAGAGAGCGGCGAAGGCGACGACGACGACGACAACGACCACGACGACGACGACGAGTCAAATGGAACAGCCTCTTCCACACGCCGACAGATTCGGTGGATTCCCGTATCTTTGATAGTGGGTGTGAGTCCGTTGTGGATACCAGTGCCGTCGTCGATTTGCACAAACTGTTTATTGGGTAAACTATACAATGGACGAATGCGGGTCGTGGTTCTATATATGCTCGGTCAGTGTCGACGCCAGTGCCGGACAATATTCCATCCATTCTTATGGCGGCAGTCGGGCATGTCAGTGTGAAGCAGCATGGACGGTAGAAGTGGCGTCAACCATGGCGGGCCCAGGATTACCAACCTGTTGTTTCCCCTGGCAACGATTTGCCGTCACAGGTCTGACCCAGGTGTGCGTTGCAAGTGACTAGAGCGAAGGAGGGGGGAGAAGGAGGAGTAGAGGCAGGAGGGAGGGGGGGGAAGCGGGCGGAGGCGGGGGGAAGGGAGATCAGAGGAGGAGCCGGAGGAATAGAGCAGGAGGGGGAGGAGCAGGGCTTCTGGTGTGAGGCACGCATCGTCACGCGCTTCCAGGACGTCAGCGCGACCCCGCTGCACGCGAGCGCGAGGACGATGATGCGACCGCCTCAGCTCTTCGCTGTTAGAGGAGGCATCTCTCCTCCCTCTCTTGCCCTCCTCTGTCCCATTGGGGTCTTCGGTGGGGCCCCCTGTGGGGCCACGAAGCGCTGTACTGGGTGGGTGACATTTCCAAGTTGGGTGTGGGGGACGCATACGGGCGGTCCCACTGGGGGTTTCGGTGGGGTTCCCTATTGGGCCACGAAGCGCTGTACTGGGTGGGTGATAATGCCAAATGGGATGTGGGGGACGCATGTGGGACGCATGCGGGCGGTCCCATTGGGGGCTTCGGTGGAGTTCTTCCCTATGGAGCCACGAAACACTGTTCTGGGTGAGTGAAAGTGCCAAATTGGGTGTGGGGGGCGCATGCGGGCGGTCCCACTGGGGGCTTCGGTGGAGCTCCCTATGTGGCCACAAAACGCTGTGCTGGGTGGGTGACAGTGCCAGATGGGTGTGGGGGACGCATACGGGCGGTCCCACTGGGGGCTTCGGTGGAGCTCCCTACTGGGCCACGAAACACTGTTCTGGGTGAGTGAAAGTGCCAAATTGGGTGTGGGGGGGGGCGCATGCGGGCGGTCCCACTGGGGGCTTCGGTGGAGCTCCCTATGTGGCCACAAAACGCTGTGCTGGGTGGGTGACAGTACCAGATGGGTGTGGGGGACGCATGCGGGCGGTCCCACTGGGGGCTTCGGTGGAGCTCCCTATTGGGCCACGAAGAGCTGTGCTGGGTGGGTGAAAATGCCCAATTGGGTGTGGGGAACGCATGCGGGCGGTCCCACTGGTGGCTTCGGTGGAGCTCCCTATGGGGCCGCGAAGCGCTGTGCTGGGTGGGTGAAACGCATGGAAGGAGGGAGGGAGGGGAGGAGGAGGAGAGGAGGAGAGGACGCGAAGCGACGTCTCTTCAAAACGAGGACCTAACACCACAGGATGGTTCGGAAATACCAAAGCTTGGTCGCTGACGACCTGCAGCCATGCGACCTGCAGCCAGGAGAAGGCGAGGAAGGTCAGAACACGCCCCGCATTCGCACCAGCATCCACCAACCTTCTGACAAGATTAAGCCCGCCACGGGCACCACGGGCAGTCCACGACAAACGGTCCAGCGGGCGTCTCTAGACAGCGGGCAGTGCGGGTTTCCCGCGGCATGGCTCCAGACTCCCAAGCAGTGCTCGCACATTTGCACGAGATCTCCTCCTCCTCTTCGGGCCAGCTTCTGCAAGGCACTTCGGCCTGCGGGCCAAAACAAATACTACATACATGTTTAGGTGTGTACATGCATATGTATTACATGAATTCACGATTGATGATAGATAGTCGAGCCCCGGTGCCCCAGTCCCTGCAAGAAGATAGCAACGTCTTGAGCACAACCCGCAAAAGTTGTACAAAACTAAGACTATCACAGCAGAGACATTCAACTATAAGATAGTTTACAGGTATACACTAATCCAAGAAGTTGTTTTACCACTGGGACCCCCCTGAAAGGCTAACGCCACACCGCTCGAAAACCATGTCGAATCATTCGGAAAGGCGTTATGAAATCTGGATCAAGACGACGATGAAGTTCTACAATTCCAGATCTGCAAGAAATCACACCCGTAACCAGAAAACCATCGAGAACAAAATAACGAAATTCGCGTGAGCGACGCCTGACCCATGGAACCGAAGTTGGTGTTCCGAAGCTTAGCAGGCAATTTAGCGTAGGAAGTGAAACCGAAACGTGTCCCATGTGACGGTCGTCCTCGTCCGCCGTCTCCTCATGCCACCTGTCTTCCTCCTCCGTTACCTCCTCCCTTTTCTCCACCGCCTCCTCCTCCTCCTCATCATCATCATCCCAAATCCCCATCCTCACCCGCAAGAGCACCATCCACACCATCCTCCTCCTCCTCATCATCACTATCATCATGACCACCACCACCATCATCGCCACTACCACCATGACCATACTTATCTCTCCTCCCCTTCCTCCGCCTCGTCACCGTCGTCATCATCATCAGCATCGTCAGCCTCATCATCATTATCATCATCATCAGTATCAGCAGCATTATCATTACCATCAAAACCACCATCATCCTCGTCATCACCATCAGTATACTCCTCAGCATCGTTATCATCATCATCATCACCACCATCGCCACCACCACCATCAGCATCATCACCGTCACCGCCACCACCATCACCATCACCATCACCATCACCATCACCATCGCCATCGCCATCGCCATAACCATCATCCACATCATCACTAGCATCAGCACCATCATCAACATTTACATAATCATCATGACCATTATCATCATGACCATCACCACCACCATCAGCATCATCATCATCGTCGTCATCATAATCATCAGCATCGTCATCACGGGTCTCCCAAGCCTGCAGATGCGAATTGTCACGAAAGACGGCCTCCCATACCTCCCAGAACAGAGGCCACCCACAATGCTGCGCTGGCACGGTGGCATGTCTTACCGCAGGCAGCTGGATGACCCTGTAACCCCCCTATCCCCTTAGCAACCCCAGGGGCGGAACTTTAGGGGAACCCCTATCTAAAAAAAACTAAGACATCGCATGTCGGGGTTGGTGGGGGTTCGGAGGCAACTTCCGGGAGGTCTCCGCCCGAACGATGAAGTAAAGAGCCTTGAAGCCATACAAACCCAGATTTAGGCCCCAAGGTTTCGCAAGATTCAGCCGGACTGGGCCAGGCTCACGCGGCTGAGGCAGGACTTTTTGGGGGCCACGGGCGTGCCAGCGCCAGTGCTGAGTTCAGCCTCCCTTGCCGTCGCTCGGACGTCCATTTCCTGCGAATTGCTCGGTTTCGTGCGTGTGTTGTTCCCTCGATATATTCGTGCGTGAGCAAAAGTGCACACGCCCGAGCGATGCCAAGCTCCCTGAAGTTGCAGCCTGAGGTACGCCGCGGTTCCTCGCCGTCTGGGTACGCTGCGGCTCCTCGCAGTCTGGGTTTCGCGGTGCCTCGGCGCGCTACGGCTCCTCGCAGTCTGGGTACGCTCCGCGCGGGGCGTCCCCGAGAAAACGCCCTGTGTCCGCGGGGTCGCTGGGGGACTGGCCCGCGAGGCCACGGATACAGGTGTCCCTTCCGCCCACGAGACCATCCATCACCAGCAAGACCCGGAGGCGGGAGAGACGTCCACGTCAGTGCCGCGCGACGGGGGGCCTCAAAGACCAGGGCACTGGCGCACCCGAAAGAACTGCTGAAGCGGGTCGAAACGTCCACGCGTTCTCCACTGGCCGTGCTCTCCCGCAGGACCCGGCAGGATCTTGGCTTGCAGAGTGGTGGCTTCCAGCCACCTGGCCACGTCCGCAGCCTCGCCGCCGGGACTCCTCGGCCGCGTGCCCCACGGAGCTTGCTCGCCACCGATCGACAGCGGAGACTGCGGATGGACCAGAGTTCCCCGTGTTTTTGTAGGTTTCGTGCGTGGCTGTTTCGCCAAATGATCAAGGATGCTCCTCGATGGTCCTCGCCGAAGAAAAAATGCACACGTCCGAGCGATGCCAAGTTTAGGAGGTCGGCGGCGAGCGACGGGGGGGAACCGAGAGGGAGAAGGCCTGCTCAGAAAGTTCGGAAGTCCCCCGGCCCGCTGAGAAACTTTCTGGGCCTTCCCCGAAGACGGACAAGAACGTATCAGAAGGCGCGAGGGCTTCTGAGAGGCCCCGCCGCCTTCCGAGAAGGCCCTCTCCTTCTCATTTCCCCCCCTCGCTCGCCGCCGGATCCTGGGGGCGTGCCTCCACCAGGGGAAAACGGTCATCGATTGAGGCCATGTCCCGGGGACCGCCTCTACCATGGGAGGAGTATCCACGATGCTGGTGGAAGTCTTGACCTTGCGGCCACCCACGTTCGGCGGCAAGCGAGAGGGGGAAATGAGAAGGAACAGGCCCCCTCAGAAGGTTCGGAAGTCCCCCGGTCTTCTGAGAAGTGTTCTAAGCCTTCCCCGAAGGCAGGACAAACTTCTCAGAAGGCGCGAGGGCTTCTGAGAAATCCAGCCGCCTTCTGAGAAGGCCTTCTCCTTCTCATTTCCCTCCCTCGCTCGCCGCCGACACGTGGCCTGAAGACCACCACCACCATCACCGAGATCTGAGGTCACTTTCCCGAGGTAGAGGCGACCACCGATATTGGTACCAGTGCCAACCTATGAGCATCTAAAGAGGAGGCAGAACATTCACCACCACCAAGGACTCTCCTGATACGATGTGATACAACCATCTTGCTGGGCGCCAACCTAACGACATCTTCCATACCACTGACCACTCCCGCGGTGCGGGCTCCCATGGCAACCAGGTTGTGAAGATCTCCACGCAGCCAAACTTCACAACGAACTAAGACTGTTCAACGAACTTGCTGAAAATGACCCCTCTCCCATCCAATCAGCTCACACCCCTTGCCGAAGACAGGAGCGAAGGCTATTGCGCGTGTGCGTGATTGATTCTGGGAGAAAGAAGGAGAGGGAGAGAACGAGAGAGAGAGAGAGAGAGTCCGTGAGAGAGAGAGCGCGAGAGATGTAGAGTGCGAGGGAGAGAGAGAGAGAGAGAGAGAGAGAGCGAGGGAAATAGAAAGAGAGAGAGAGAGAAGGACACAGACAGATGACGACAACTATACAAGGGAAGAGAGAGAGAGAGAGAGGGAGGGAGAGAGACAAGAAAGACCCACCAAACAAAAATACAAATGAACGAGGGAAAGGTAGAAAAGGGAGAGATAGAGAGGGAACGCACTGCGGGTGTAGACAGAACTGCGCATGTGTGCCAATGCGGTCAACCGCCTGCGGCTGCCTATGGGTGACATGGATGTACGCACCACTGCCTGTGCGCACATCTGCACACGCGTGATTAACAAGCGCTCCTGCGCGATACGCTCAACACGACAACGCAGGCCCACACATCGCGCGCATCGCTGGGCCCAGACCTCTTGGTCGACGGAGATGGTGGGTCTCTGCCCTTTTTCGAGAA